AAAAAGCGATGCGGATTCGCTAATTTTTAAATAATTACAACTACTTTGTGAGGCGTGACTCGAAAAAATGGTTCGGGACTCTTCGACTCAGTTTTTCATGAGAAATATCACTATATAAATGGTGGGCGCGAATTAGATGTATATGTATGTATGTATGTTTCCCAGAAAAAAATTCCAGAAAATGAACGTTTTTTTGGCCTTTTAGGTGTATATGCCCCCTTAACCAAAACATATGTTGAATATTCAAACGCGTTTTTCTCGAAACGACATTTTTCAAACTGGTACCAGAAATATCTCGAGAACCACTGAATCGATTTGCTTGAAATTTATAGGGGTTATTCAACACATAATTATCTATCGCGTATCGTAGGGGGGTTTTTTTTTAGGACTCATAGTTTTTGTTTTCTGGCGAGGAAACGAACGGATTTTGTCTTAAATATCGCTACGTCAAATTTAAACGCCCGCCATTTTGTCAAAAATCGATATTTTTGAAATCGGCTACGATACGCCAAAACTATTATTATATATTTTAATATTCCGCGCTATTTTTTTGTTTTAGTGAATTTTTGGCGAAGATACATCTGGTACCGTTTTGGGTGATTTTTCCGGGCTGCCTTTTCACGACGCCATATCTCCGACATTTTGCGAGATTCTTTAATTAAAAAAATCACGAAGTTTCTTTAAAATGTACATTTTCAACTACAAGAAACGACGATCCGATAACTCCAACAGTTTCCCAGAAAAAAATTCCAGAAAATTAACGTTTTTTTGGTCTTCTAGGTGTATATGCCCCCTTAAAGTTATTTAAATCAATGAATTATTGCTTCAGATTTTCGCAACATGTCGGAATTGGACATTTATAATATATGTATTGACTGTAATTCAAATATAAACAGTGTCTAAGTGTTAATATATGTTTCATTACTTTCAAGTAATAAAATCTTTACGCATGTATACGTGTTCGATATTTCGCATACCTATTGATATTTGAAAACGATTACCGAACGCCCTAGTGGAATAAATGGATGGAATTAGATACGAAAATTTGACATCCATTTCAATCTCATTTCAATATCATTTCTTGAACCCCTTTTTTAAATAGAATGAAATAAAACTTTTTTATTCGTTCCAATTCTACTATACGGATTGAAATTAAGAAAGATTTAAACGGATTGATATTTTGTCCACTATTAAATAAAAAGAATAAAGTATTGAAATGAATAAAAAGTTTATTTCGGTATGGAACAGTATTGAGGCGCAATGTAATTGATATGATTTGTTAGAATAGAACTTTCTTCCAGAATTTAATATTAAAATGTATAAAGAGATCAATTGAAAAGTATTCAAACGGATAAAAATTTTATGCTATTTCAAGAGTTCAGATGCATGGCATCCCTGGTAGAAATTGCCCTGCCGGCGCCACGACACTTGTCAGCGCCATGCAAGTTTGCCACGCCAGCGCCTTATCCTAAAAAACTGGGAAGGGCCATGTTAGCGCCATGTCCGCAAGGAATCCCTGACATGTGCCTGATTCCCTCCTGAATAGATAGCACTAGTACCACATACTGCCGCGACGTGGCAACCACGCGTCTTTCTCGTAAGTAAAAATCTTCCCGTATTAGTATAAAAGGCGAGCCGATATGATGCAAGAGCAAATTGTCTGAATCATGGATAAACCTCGATAACCTGATGAGTGCCTGACCAGGCATTAAGGCATCTTTATTAGGACCCTATCAGAACCATACTAAAATTTCTGCTCGGGACGCTCTCGGCAACGCTTGCTGCGAACGGTTATCGCCATTTAGCATTTCTTTAGACGGTTTAATTAACTAGTTTTTATATACAGGGTGAGTTATAACATTTGTCCCAGAGCCAGTGGCGTAACTACAATGTTGGGGGCCCCCGGGCAAAAATTGAATAGGGCCCTTTATATAGGGGTCAAATTTAGGGATCATTAGAAGGTCAACTTGAAATTTTCAAATGGAAACGAAACCCCTATTTTTGACAACAAAAACGGATAGAACAGAAGATTAAGTCAAGATTTGTCATTGATCTAGCTATCTGTAAGTAATCTATAGCTCACACAAAACTCCCTCCTTTTTTCTTATACGGGCTTGGGACCAATTCTTTCGACCGTAACAGTCCAGAATATTTAGGGGGCCCTTCTAAGCTGGGGCCCCCAGACCGTGCCAGGGCTTCCCGGGTGGTAGTTACGCCACTGCCCAGAGCTCGTGAGAAGGTAGAACGGATCGAGATGAACAGAAAAGTCCTGAAACATTTTGCAATTTTCGCAATAGTTAACGAGAAAAAAATGATCGAAAATCGTCGTCTTTGCCCTGCCCACTGTCTATTCGAGCGCGCAGCGAGATGTGACCGCCCGGCGATCGATATTGCTCGGCGAGGGGGGGAGGGGGGGGGGGACAGCGCGCCGTTGCCGGCGAGTTGTTTACGTCGCCACTCCCGCGTCTCGCGTCCCCATCCCTCGCCTGGCAATATCGATCGCCGTGCGGTCACATCTCGCCACGCGCTCGAATTGGACAGTGGGCAGGGCAAAGACGACGATTTTCGATAATTTATTTCTCGTTAACTATTGCGAAAATTGCAAATGGTTCAGGACTTTTCTGTTCATCTCGATCCGTTCTACCTTCTCACGAGCTCTGGGACAAATGTTATAACTCACCCTGTATAGCTGTTTTACCCTTGTACCAACCAGCCCCGATCTACCCTATGTACCACGTTGAAAACTCGTTAGTGCTGGCCAGTCCCACGTCTGCATTATAATAATACTAATTATTACAATAACATAATACATTTATTATAATAATTTAAATCGAAGTGTGGCGCAAGTGGGGTAAAACGTAACGATTTCGTACATGGCGCTTGCCAGCGGTGTCATGCCAGCGCCTGAAGTGGCATGTGGCACGCTGGCCAGGGCCATGCAAGCGCCCGATCAAAATTTCTACCAGGGATGTGTTATATTAAATTTATATTGATATTATGTAACCGTTACTTTGGTGTTTGCTGGGTTCTCGTGACAGAGGAGCTACACAAGTGTATCTTAGGAAGACGTGTACGAGACTGAAACAAAGGTATTGAGAAAGAGGAAGTGCGCATGCGCGGGGCAAATAAAATTTCTACCTCTTACAAGAGCTTTTCTTTTTAAACACGCATTAAATAATTTTCTTGAGTGTTAAGTAATGGCTCTATTATGGACATAGTTCGTAAAGAACGCTTCTACATTATAAATATACATATATCTACTCGCAATAGGGTATAATAGTCCTTTATGTAAATTGCGACATTTGTATGAAAATTTATTTTAGAAGGGGGAATGTCAATCAATAGAAAAAAGAAGGGATAACGCAGGTCATCAGCGTCTTTACATTCAGTTGCGTCCCCAACTGCATACAGATATGATCCGAATAGGAGATCAGTATCTTAGCGTAAATAAAATTTTATTGCTCACTATCGGCTTATGGCCCTATCACCAATCCACCTTCACTACATTTCAATATATAATCATCTTTATTATATTGATAGGGCTTATTATATTTCAGGTAAGAAAATATTATTTTAATTCAACTAATGCACCCTGCCGGAAATAATTCTACAAAATTCTACAAAAAAAAATATGCTACCAGAATCTAAGAAAGTCTACGTAAATTAAAAAAGTGTTATAAAAATCAACATGAAAATGCTAGAATTAGAACACTTGTTAATTTTTGTAATATTCTACAAGTAAGCAAATGTTTTAATTCTTAAAAATTTTGTTGTTTCTCAAATATTTAAAACTAGTAAAGTTTTTACAAAATTGTACATTTTCATGAAATAGTACTTGCAATAATTTCTTGATTTGAGAACATTGTACTATTTTGTAGATATTTTTACAAAAAAATTAATTTTTCAACGAAGATATAAAAATTTCTACAAATTTCTATTTTCAGTCAATTTTTTGTAATTATTTAGAGAAATTTTTTCCTCTAGGGCACTGAGAAAAATTTCCATTGGATAAACTGATTAAATATTATCACCGATGGTTAATTTTTCCGATTACGTTTTTCGATTAAATTATGGATATATCCAAGGAAATGCAGTTGCTAAAAAAATTTGATTGAAAAATCGATCATATTTTGAATCGGATATACAACACAGCCCCACAACAAAATTTGTTTTCTTGTCTGGCGGACCAGACTAGTCAATTCCTACGTATTTTGGGTCGCTGAATCCAAATCCGAGGTCAGAATTGTAAAGTTGGCTCATTTTTTCTTCCTAACCTCAAAAAACATACTTTTTGGTACATTTTATGCCATAATAAAAAAACGTGAGCTAGTTTTTACATTCTCACCGTGAATTCAGATTTAGAAAGTTACCCCATACGGCACAGAAATATTGCAGCAACATTGCAGAAATATTTCTTTGCAACATTGCAATATTGCAGAAATGTTGCAAAATGTTGCTGCAACACTGCTGCAATCTTGCAGCAACGGTAAAATGTCCGCCTTCAGAAATATTGCTACGTAACGTTGCAACAATGTTGCAATAAAATAATTATGCAATAATGCTTTGGAAATGTGCCAGTATACGGTTGAGCTGGATATTTTATGCGTAATAACATTTTTCGTATCAATTTATATATATTTTTCGTTTGACAAACTGTGTATTATTATATGTAATTAAATTTAATTATGTATATAATTAAACTTAATTACGTATAATGGCATACAGTTTGTTAAGCGAAAAATATATGTAAATTAACGCAAAAAATATTATTACGCACAAAATATTTAGTCCAACAGTATATTGATATCATTTTCTATTTACTTATTTGTTATAATTAGACGTACATGGCTTACTTAATATAAGTATTATTTTAGATTATATACAAGTTGATAATAGCTTTAACATACGAAGTGAAACCATTTTGGAACGCATTTTTAAAAAAGTTTTAAAATGATAAATATCACTTAGAGCCAGTTTCACTAACGTCGGTTAACTGTTAACCAGAGTTCAGTCAACTTCCTATCTTTTTCTATTTTGTTATCTAATTGTAAGAAGAGACAGAGAATCAATTGACCTTCGGTTAGCAGCTAACCGACGTTTGTGAAACTGGCCCTTAATGTATTAAATTTCATATGTGAACTTATTCGTAATGACACTGTGGCGGCCTACGGCAGCCACAAGGCGCCTGCGGCAACACTCACGCACGCCGCGAAATACGGTAGTTCGCGGCGCCACCGATAAGTGGCGAATCGCGTGAGCTCCAAACTCGTGTTTAAGATTCGGACAG